TATAATTAACTCGTTAAGTATTTATAATTTTGTTATATCCCTCATAATATCAAAAATAAATGATCTAAAATATCACTTATGTAGGTAACTAGTTCCTAAATATTTTTAAAATAATTAGTTCTTTGTGTCGTTTTTTCTTATCCAAGTGACCAGATGGCTGGTTAGACAAGAAAAACTATCGAAAATCGTTCTAGATGTATATAATTTCGACCAAGTTGTAACTAGCACTTTATATGATTTATACTTAATAGAGCTATCGAATGTACCACTTTCCATGGTTTTCTATGGAAAACATCTATCGAGTCTACCAGTTACAATGTTGTTCTACGCTAGATACTTCGCGAATTGGCAGATTCGATTTTTTAAATGTTTAATTCTGAGTGTAAAATAGGGTGGTTTGCATTAATATTAGACGTAACTGGTTAACGACTTTACCATCTCAGTCAGCCGTAAACATCGGACCTGTAAAGAGCCTGAAACCTTTGTTTGTTTGAAAAAATAAATATAGGTATACGATTTATTCTGATTTCATTTATTTTTTTAGTTACTATTAAAATTTTTAGAATCTCCTGTGCGTGACATCAATTATACTGAAGAAGAATTCAAATTTCTAAATGATATTTACGATGACGTCTTTTCCGCTTGGTCTGCAGAGGGTGACAATATATGTGATAGTCTGCTAAATGATTTCCACAGTTTTTAGTAGCCTAATAGTTTGACCTATCACCTCTTAAGCAGAGGCCGTGGCTTCGAATCCGGACTCGCATCTTCGAGTTTTTCAGAATTTATGTGCGAAATTTCATTCGAAATTTACCATGAGCATTCCGGTTTAAGGAAAAATGAAACATTTTGAAACATTTCAAACAAACATCGTAATGAAACTTGCAAGTCGAAGAAGGTTCACAAAACTCGGAAAATATGTGAAGTCCCCAACCGCATTGATTTATGGTCTGAACCTTTGCCTGAGAGGAAAAATATGACTATGGTCTAACTCTTTGCCTGAGAGGAAACCCATGCCCAGCAGTGGGTCGTATAAAAAGGTTGATGATGATGATGAAGCCCTACTGAAGAGCAGGCGTTGACTTATGACAAGCACATTCAAACAAGGAAACCGCAAGAAAATCTAAAGCACAAGTTATGTAAGATTTACATGATGGCAATTAAAACTGCATCATAAATAGTAAGTATACGCTACATACGATTTCTAAAACCGTGACCATGGGACCTGTAAAGGGCCCGAAACGTCGGTTTGTTTGAAAAAACAAATATACGCGATTTAAATCCGGAAAAATAGTTTCATTTCCTATGTGTAACAATCGCGAAAACCTTAGAACTCGACATGTCTCTCTTTTATTTTAAAAGCACGTTGTGACTGATACATTTCACTATTTGCGATACTGGGGTTAGAGGACCACACAATATTGACAAACTTGGAGCAAACGACGCAAACTACCAACCGGTAGCTGTTTATTAGATTTTGTTAAATAAAATATAACTAATGATGCTGTAGACATTGAATTTTGGTCCGACAACTGCACTGGGCAAAAACGCAATTGATAGTGAAGTTCATTTAAGATATTATAGTTAAAAGTTGCATTAATTTGTCTATGTTACTCGTCATGAATTCCATACAAAAAATGGATTTATTTCATAATTAATAAATATACGTTAGTAAATTATAAAATCAGTGTTTGGTTTTGTCTTCTCTTTTAGACCGTCAATTACTTGGTATAAATAATCAAAAGTGTAAAATTTTTATCGATTCTGTAAAGACTGTCAATGAAAAGTACCGAAACTGGTAAATTCAATATTTGTTCAAACTTTACAAGCCCTGAATACTAACGAATCTACCACTTTCGATTAATTTGTAGCAAATTCTAACAAGGTAAACAATTGAAAGTGAAACATCTAGAAAAATACATAAAATTTTGAAATCATGCAAAGGCCTAAGAAAAACACATAAAACTTGCTATCATAATTGGGTGTCACTTTCACGACACTAATAAAACTTATTATTATAAGTCAAAATATAACTTCAAACTGCTCTACTGTAAAGTATGCATTTTGTAGTTTCGATACTGTACATTGCAGCAGTCGAAATATGTAATATAATAAAAAAAACCAGTAGAGTCGCAGCACTGCCGAAACACCCACTTATGTATGTGTGCTGTAGCAATGCAAAAAGGCCATAACTCAGCGTCTGTGATTACTCAGGAGCAAAAAGCTGATTTTCAGCTATAACCTAGAAGATGTCGCGGATACTATAACTAGCCAGCTGACGCCATTTCCATGTTGTATAAATTAAACAAATAATAATTTCGAATCGAGTTCTTAGGTTTTGGCGATTGTTACACATAGGAAATGAAACTATTTTTCTGGATTTATATCGCAGTGCAGGTCCCATGTCAACCGTGACCATGGGACCTGTAAAGGGCCCGAAACGTCGGTTTGTTTGAAAAAACAAATATACGCGATTTAAATCAGGAAAATTAGATTCATTTCCTATAATAATTTCGAAATTAAATAAATACGGAAGATAATATAAATATAATAATTTTATCACACGCGTCGAATACACGATTCTGATATTCGCAACAACCCTGGTACGTATGTAACTTAAATGCCTCCTCCTTTAAAAAGGTAGCATCTTTGTTGCAGTGCCACTTGCAGTTACACCTACTTGCTACATTTTCTAAATAATTATTACCTTTGATATATTCTGAGAAATACAAAATAATAATTGACCAATCATTCTGACGTCAGGATGGCTGGTCGCCACTTTGTTCAGCATGAAGGAGCAGATTTTCCATTACCAATAATTGCTACTTAATTTCACAAATTAAAGGTATAAGCTTATTATCTACATTAGTTAAAAAAATATAAGGGATTGAAAATTTTATGAAGTGCAAACGCCTGCCCTTTGTATTATAGCAATAATGCATTAAAAACTTTTCTTTTTTAATTTAATCAGGCACTTCTTCGTAAAATTTTCAATCGGTTATATTTTTTTAACTTGTGTCTTGTGTTTTTTTGTCGTGAAAATTTTCAGGAATCGTGTTTTACACCGTATAGTAATCAGTGTATATCATCAATTTTACTATATATTTTTTAGCCATACTTCTTTTACTTTCACAAGGAGCTCTACTGCTGCCAAATTACATGTTAACAATAATGCAAGTTTTAAATGGATCTCAAGTGGTTTTAGGAAGGCTAAACTACAATTTCGTACAGCAACAAATATCAAAGACAATGTCAAAACCAACTATCAAATTTAATAGTTCAAAACGCGGTTACATAGTTTTTTGTAGAGACAATTTTATTATACCTATTTAACTTTGTAAAGCGCGGCCCCCGGATCTAAAGGATGGAAAAAATATAGTCTAAGCCGCGGATACACGTTTTAGATATCATCGATTTAAGAAACGTGTTCCTCATCAATGATGGAATATGAAAGTCTTAATTGTAAAAATCACATGTTAAATTAGTTTTTTGAGTCTCTAAAATTTCTAATCCATTTGCGGATGTTTTGCTTGTGAATGTTGCGGGCCTCCCGCACGGTGGGAGGGTCGACTGGGTTGCTAGCCATCAGGTCGAGGTGATGTGCGCCGTCCACTATCACCACTGCCACCACCGACTCGCTGATGCTGTTCAGTATACCGCCTGGAAAACATTTGATGGTATTGATTTACCTACCAATAAGGGATGGATAACAATTACGTACCTAAAAATTAGGTACATGTCCCTTTTTTCCTGATTCTGATATAACAATTATATATAAATGTTTTGTGCTTTTTTCGTTTAGAGTGATGTACTGTAAGTGTACTTTTTAATTTTGACGATGACCATGTCAAAACGAACACTCACCTCCAGCCCAAGGATCCAAAAGGCCATTACTGAACACGATATTCGAAGCCGATTGTATTTTGTCTCCACCATACTCGATTTTAGCAGCGTTAGGTCGAGGGTACACCCCATACTTGTCGTGACAGGTTTTGGAGAAATCGGTAAAGTTCCAGGGACTTGGCGGGAACATGTCGTCTACGCCTGTTGTGCACATTGGCATTACCATCTCTGTGCAGGCCTGTAACATTTTGTTGATCAGTGTGGGCTGCCACAGCGAGGCTCCCGTTCCAACTGAGCTACAAATCGAGTCAGCAGATCTAAGAAGTTATATGTCTGTTGCGGATCCTGTGATTTTGTTGATATATTTGTAAATTGTGGCAATTCCAAACGTAGTCATGTCAAATTTCACTATGGCCGTGTTGAACAAGTAGTTCTCCTTTTTTACAATACGAAATTTATGCGCAATAGATTGTAAGTCAATGGCAATAGATCAAAAAGCAATTTGTCGAGAAGGTTCTAAAATCTCTCATTAGATGTCACTACCGGCGCAGAAAGCCGAAAAAGCCAGTACAAAGGTCTATAACAAAAACACATAGGAGAATTTCAACTCGATAATTTTATATAACAACTCGATAACTTGACCTATAGCTCAGTAGGTAAGAGCAATACTACGATACAGTACGGTCGTGGGTTCAAATCCCATCGGGTCGAAGAAATTTTTCTGCGTGTAGATATTTCACAAAAAACCTCAATAAAACAGCAATTTGTCAGTTTAGAATTATCTATATGTTTGTCTTGTTTCGACATTTAAAAAGTAAAGCCGTTTATGTAAATATTGTAATTTTATTCATTATCATCGGGAACATTCTAAGCTACAGTACCTGATAGTCCCAACCATTAGCATCCAAGTTTCCGTAGTTACTATTTCTGTAGTCTATACATTTGCTCTTGCCATCATAATTCGCGTAGACTTGTATAACTTGTCCAATAGCCTACAAACACAGGACAGGAATTATTAGATAACGAACCATCTTCGTTCAGCACCCTAACAATAAGTTCCTTTTCCCTTTACTGACCTAAACATCAAGCGTCAAGGTCTCCCCCTGCCTTCTAAAAATCTGTCGTAATTATATTCCCTGAATAAACATCTATCCCTATTAAATATTTAATACATATAAAACAAAATAACAAAGCTATTCTTCTTCTTCTTTTACTTATTGGCGGCGATCTTTTTAAGATTTCCCACAACATCAAGTTTTCAGCTTATTTAGGGTGCGTTCCCATTATGTAGTAATGTTTTATTTATCGTTGGACGACAGTCGTGTATAGCCTGTTCTCGTAGCACGAAGAGCCATCCCATAAGTGGCAGCAATAGTCCATGTACATAAGTTAAAACTTAAAAGTTTATTTTTGGTAAATTTATTATGTTTGGTAAAAAATATGGACAACAGTTATTGGTTATGAAGTTAGTAACAGTCCTGCGAGGTTCTTAATATGTTACAAATAACCCTGTATAAATATTTATTGGGTGTCTTACCTTAAGGAGCTTGTCGCCGGTCAAAGTAGTGTTTAGATATTGGCAGACATATCTAACAGGCTGTCCAGGTAACGACATAAGAAAATCGCTAGGAAACGGATAATTCACCATCGCTATTGTCTCATAAACGGATTGTAGGAATTCTAGTAATGTGTTAGTATCTGATGAATTCTTAACAGGGTCGCAAAGCTTCCAGTCCTTTTGGAGTGTATTGTTTGGATTTGACGAGACGTTTCTGTCAAGGAAGAAAGATTTTAAAACCAAGTCTCATAACAATCACGAGCACATATATACAGGGTGGAAATTTGTAATGCCACTTGGAGGGAAAGTACTCTAAATACTGGAGATAGAAATTTTTACTTAAAGGAAACATTTTTATTTTTTAAAAGAAATAAAACTGCATTCACAGATTTTCGAAAATTTCTAGCAACACGCGGGAATCGAACCCGCTTTAATCTGAAAAAAATGCACCCTGTACTTTTATTGCATCGATCGATAGGGTTAATTGTAAGAATAAAATCTCTCTCACAAAGTTGGTTAATTAAATGAAAAAATAAACCATGAAATCTTAACATATTTTAATAAAACGAAAAAAATACTGTACTGTAATAAAAGTTCATGGTAAGGCCCCTGTTCGGATGTTCTCGATTTAAATCCGAATAAGTGCCGCCACCCGCGTCGGCCCGAGGCCGCCCGGACTCGCCCATTTCGCAAGCTCGTCCATACAAATCGGCACGTTTGACATCACGGGCCGTGGCGCCTTCCCACATAATACACTCGTTAACGCGGAATCGATGTCTGTGTAATAAGAGCGAAAAAGATGTTGCGCGTTTCGCTACCACCGCTCGAATCGCAGACGTGACACGCACAACGGCTCTACCTATCTTATGACATGGACATGAAGCTTTAACGATTCGCGACTGTGAATGTTACTCATTCGTATGGGCAAATCATTCGGCCGAGTCGAATCCAAGCACAATCATTCGACTCGAGCTAAATGATTACCGGTCGGGTGCACGAGTTGAATGATTGTGTCGGAACTTCACCACACCATGTCCAAAATATTCCTGTCCTCGTCACATTTATGGTACTTACCACATATCAGAGACGGCTAGGTGATAACGACTATATGTCGTAATTTTTTCTTAGCTTAGACTCTTAATTTTTACAATAGAAATAATATTTGGATCATAAGAATGTAATCGAGAGATTTAAAAAATGACACCAAAAAGTAGAAAAAAATACCAACGTTGACTTGATTCATTCGAGTGCAAGAGTCATGTTCTATGAAATCTAAGGTTAAGTAATGAATGATCATTCAATTCATTCGAATACGAAAATTAGTAGGTTACTAAACTGTCATTCGAATGACAGGATTAGTAAAATTACTAATGAGACGAATGTCGAAATCATTCGGAATCGCGCGTCGGTATAAATCTTTTTCTGACCGGCGTTAAGAGATTCAGTGTGGAGAAAATGTGGTGACTTCCTGATGCGTAATGTGCACTCAAACGATATTTAGTAGCAGTAGAGCTCCTTGTGAAAGAGTTAGTATTGCCACCTTACCTATTTCTGCCACCAAGCAGTAATGTTACTGTGTTCCAGTTTTGAAGGGTAGGGTGCTTGTGAAATTACAGGCACGTGGGACTAATCAACTTATGTCTCAGGGTGACGACAGTGGCAGTGCCCTGAGGGGCATTGCAATTGTTATGGACAGCCGTGTAGCTGATCATCATGATATTACAAAAAAGAATATTAACAAAAACAATTGATTAAGATCTTATCGGCCTTGCACTTAAGACGCGTTATTAATATGCACCTTGATATAAGTATCAATTTTTTTTTTTATAATATCAAGTGACGGGACGGACAAGTCGTGCACCTGATGGTAAGCTACACGCCTGTCCATAGCAGTTGCAGTGCCACTCAGAGCTTTAAATCGCAAAGATCTGAGGGGCACGCCCCTGTGCCCGTCACCCTGAGACATAAGTTGACAAGTCTCTGTAATTTCACCAAACCCTTACCCTTCAAACCGCAATGCAATAGGTAATACTGCCATTACTGCTTGGCTGCAGAAAAAAGCTTTCATATAATCTAATTTTAACACCAATGTCTGAACTTGTACTAACTTGATTAAATTCCAAGATTCCCTAATATTCTCCACACATTTAGGATCAGTGATCTTGTAGCTGGAAGTGACGATTCTGGAGTACGCTTCGCACGGCACCATGCCAGGGTACATGTGGATGGGCGCAGATGCAGCGATGGCACCGGTTACTACGTGCGGGTATTTCATACGAAAGTAGGCTGCTAACATGCCTCCATAAGAACCTGAAAACAAGTGAACGATTTGGACCTGTACTCTCTGTTTGGTTGAAACGTCGTGTTGTTTTTTTTTTGAAGTTTAGCAGGTCTAGTGACTGGCTGGTTAATCATTACCTTTTGCCGTTGCTACTAAAGGTCAAGTTGTTTCATTCTCTTAAGAATGTCAATTACTGCTTTTGATTCTCGGACTATTGTTCAAATCGACTGCAGCCAACGCTTGCAGTTTAACTCTTGACGGTTTTTTTTATAAAAAATGTAAGTGCACATTTGACTTCCATCTCACCTTATGGAGAGTGACGATGAGGTCGATGATGGAGCATGCACACCCAAAATAATGCCTGAATATTTTAAAATATCTCGAAGGCCTGTCCGCATCCAGTCGACGTCTCACTACATGCAGTTGATCACGACTGCACGCATTCTTTTATGAAATGGTACTTCTTAGTACGGGTCTTCGATAAGATAAAATCAGGCACGCAGTTACGTTCATGGTGCATATTATATGTGGAAAATGCAAGAAGTAAGTGATAGTAACAAATTAAGCGTAAATCTATGTGCCCTGCTATGGTACAAAAACCTATTAACGGTATGTTGTTTAATAGAGTATGTTGCTTTAAATTATAAACAGAAAAGTTAAACTAGGTACTACCCAGACACTACATACAATGGTCGAAAGTTATTTACCTACTGCTACTACATCCAGGAAGGTGCTATCTGCACACACGCAAATGTGTGCGTGAAGTGACAGGGTTACCCGTCACTTTCTCCTGCTTCGTCATGCAACCGCTTGGTGGTTGGTTACGTGGTCAGAGCGGCAACATAGCGTAATAAATCTGTATTATACATATATTACACTGCACTAAATAAATGAAGAAAGAATAAATGAATGAATTTCAGACATAAGCTTTTTTTACTGACTTCGTTTCATCTTCCGGAAAAGGTAAGAAATTCCTCTCTTTATAATAACAATAATAATAACGCACACACTCAACACTGCTCCACTACTACTACTACTGCACTAGGGAAACCCTGAGTCGCGGGTGCCATGGACACACACATAGACAACCACAAATGACACCCAAACTCGCGAGATAATAAATGTAGGCCATAGACGTACTTCTCCCGACCTGGGAATCGAACCCAGGACCTCTGTGTGGCAGACCGGCCTGTCACCCGTTCGGCCATGGAGGCAGTTCAATTTATACCGTTTAGATGATGATAAACAGCCGTCACGACACAATTCATGACCATTATAAATAGTAACGTACAATGATGTTATATATTAACGTACAAGTTTCGTAATGAATAAATGTAAATTATATTCAAACATCAAAGCCGCCTTAGCGCGAAAACGGCTCGCCGACAGCCTTGTTGCCGTTCAGTCAATGTGACCGTCAATGTGCGGGGCGTGGTGGGGTATCTAAATCTAGGGAGGGGCGGAGAGTGTCCATTCTCGCTACTTTTTTGTTCTCTGGTGCTACTTACTTTTTGCATCAGCAATAACAATTACAAGTTAGTCAAAAAGATACGTGCAACAAATATCACACAAAGTAAATTGAGTTTTTATCCAATAACAATTACTACGCCGAAGAACTTGCTAGAAATAAAACTAAGAATACGTACCACCAAAAGCAATAACCGGGTATTTGGAATGTGTGACGTCGCCTTGTAGGAAGTTGATCAGCTCCGCGTAGTCCGCCAGCGCCTGCGCCGATGACAGGAACCCGATGTGCTCGTTATCCAAAGATTTATTGCCGAATGGCATTGATTCGCCATAATATCTGGGGAATTCCAATGATGTGTTAGCTATAATAATAAAGTTCCGCTCTTGCTAAGTCTGGGTATTTGCGTTTACACACACACAATAAGCAGTCTAAATTATGCAGCAAGAGCTCGTTTTGAAGTACGAACTTGTGCAAGAGAGGATGCCTTATTACTAGTATCGCATCGGAGACAAATGAAATACTCGAAAATGACCGAACCAAGATCTACAATACTCTTGTATATAATTCTGAGATTTGTATTGGATTGGTCGCTGTTGAGATATTTTTTTCGAGGACAGTACCATCCCACACGATCGTGAAAGGCGAATCGAGAAACATCTCAAAATACCTCGCTGGCGCACGAGATAACCGACATGCAATATGAGATAGAAATAATCCTCATTGTTTTGTTTAAGGCTCGCTCTGAAGCACGGACTCGTGCAACAGACATATCGTTGCCTTGCTTGACCCTCAGCTTTCTATGAAAAACGTATTTTTCTAGATGCCGTATAGTCATATATAGAACATATAGCCTTTAATAACATACGAACACTATTGTCTGTGTCTGAATCACATGACATATTATTATGTACATTTTACATTAGGAGAATATGTCGACAATCAATCTTCAATCTTCCTTTACTACTTTGTTTAACTAACATTAAATTTGTCGACATTTATTGTGTTTACTTAACTCTATTTAGAAATATGTTGACGTGCGTGTGTTTGGACGATAACTGGTGAGTTCTCGTTTACAATCTTAATTTGGTCAATGGCCTGTTTATTAATTTCTTGTTTGAGGTTTTTCGCAACCGTAAACTATCTTGCAGAGGAAGGTGAACCAAAAGACAACAAGTTCGGTTCGTAAGAATGGAATATTAAAAGCCTTAAGAAAGACAAATGAATGTCGATGGTTTTATGGGGACAAGAAGACCAGAGAAAAGTTGGACAGATTATGTAAATGATGATGCGTATTAAAAACTGGTGGTGAATGGATAAAGAAGATATATTGCGCCAACTCAAAATAAAGCAACAACACCAGAATAATAATGAGGTATACTGACCGATGTTCAGCAAAGACCAGCTTGGCTTTGAACTCCGACGCGATATCCCACATGAACCCAGTGTGTTTCGCGAACTGCTCAATTTGACCCTGTAATTGTGTAGTCAACGAGTTATAACAATATCTGTCTAATAAGTATGTGCCTACTTGTAAATCCATTATTATAATGTCTACCAATCATTTTCCGTATATAGCGACGACTTAAACAAGGAAAAAAAAAACTATTATTGGAAACAGTAACTTTGAAAATGACACTTAAAATTAATTAACTTAAAACTTGAAGTTAAGGCATAATCTACACCAGAAATCACTCACCTCATTGCCCGTATAAAAGAAGATCGGTCCCCCTCCTTGATCCCAAAACTCTTCGTTGACCAAGTATTTTATGTTGAACGTCTCATTTCTGTGATAACTGAAGTGGTCCAAAGGAACATTGAACCATTTAGTGTTATACTTGTACTCCGCGAACACACTTGTCGAAATTATTAGTAAAGCACAGATATTTTGCCACATTTTCCTTTGCTAACTTGTAACTAAGACTTTAAACTTTTATTAGCTTAGTGATTTAGTTTGCCAGTAAATACGAACGTCTTGTTTGGACACTGAAGTGGTAATGGCGCGGGAAGCCGACGGAGTGCTAACCCCTTATGTAATGAACAATTGAGCACAAAATTGCTAAGGCAATGAGTCACGAAATTAGAACTGTGGTTAGGGAGCAATTTTTTTTGTTCCATTTTGATGTAGTAATGTTTCTTTAGTCAATGTTACTTGAAATAAATGAATTATTATTATTGTTTTAATCCTATGGAAATAAAAATTAGCTTTAAATCTTATCATTTTACCAATTTTAAGGGTCAAGTAAGTATAATAACTAGAGCAAGGTATGCAACGGTACTTAGTTAATCATAGTTTATGCTATGGTTCGACTTTCATCTTGAGAATATGTTTGGAGGTGTAATAAGATCGCATCTACAATATGACAACTTTTTGTTGCTATTAACTGCCTCCGTGGTCGAACGGTTAACATGCTGGTCTGCCAGGCAGAGGTCCCGGGTTTGATTCCCGGGCCGGATGAAATATTGCATGGCCTACATTTATTTCTCTCGCGAGTTTGGGTGTGATTTGTGATTGTCTATGTGCCATGTGTGTGTTGTGTGTGTGTGTGTGACCACGGCACCCGCGACACGGCACGGTTATTATTTATTTTAAGAGAAGAGTCTAAATATTCTACGAATTAAATTAGTGGATAACTTTTTATGTTTAAAAAGAAGCGAGTTATACAGTTTCACATATACATCATTTAATACATTTTAATCTCGCTGCATCTCCGCGTGCCGGTCAAAAATATTCAGATTCAGTGCAATCTCAAAAATCTAGAAAAACGAGACTTTCGAAACTACTTCAGAAATAGGCTTTCATATTTATAGGCAGTTAAATCATGATTATCTTAATTAGGTCTAAGCTAAGTTCTACTCTACAGTGTTGCCATAATAAAAGAATGTTGTGTATCTGGTAGATTTATAATCCTTTCTATTTAAGTGAGTTTAATGTCGAAAGTCTCGATATTCCCGAGATTGAAAACCTCAATCTCGAGTCTCGAAAATGCCAAAAAATTGTAGACTCTAAAAATCCGACATATGAAAGCCCTTATTTTGACATATGATCACATGTGATTTTAATATACCAAGGGTATGTGTGATATTTGCGTTCGATGTTTTTTACCATAACGTGGTGCACAATATTTTATTACATCTGCTGTGTTTTTTTACAGCTTAATATTTCTGTTGTGTTTTATGTGTTGCTTGGCCTACAGCTTGAATTGAAATATTGTTAATATAATAAACTTTTCATGTAAGTTACAATTGCTTTAATATGTTCTGTGGTAGATATTATTGTAAGAAAATAAATGACAAAGTATGATTTAAATTCAATAGTTCACTTCTCGAAGTTATACTTATTTGATTTGTAACAATGTACATATCACTTTTGTTATCGAGTGTCAAGTCGTCATGCATTATTATCGGGGATCAGTTGACCCCTGCGCCCACGCCGGTAATTTTGACGGATGCCCGTGTATGCGTATTATTTGCTTGTATATTATTATTGATATGGCAAATAACTTTGCAAATAATATTAATAATATTGTATACTGACACGCCTGTGTAGATAGAGACTACTGATCTCTACTTGCTGTCCTGGCAAATTGTTTAATTTTTTTATGTAATCTTCCAAAGAAGTGATAATGTTCTTTCTCCTTCTGAAATACCGCATTTATTACCTATTATTTTTGTTCACTATTTTTGTAGTATAAATAACTAGCAATTACTCTATAATAGTGTATTTAAATAAATAAATTATACAATCTATGTGAATTACTTTAAATTTATCTAATTACAAATGATATTATAAAACTCCATTCTACTTGCTTGGCAAAAGAAACTGAAATTCTAAACATTCATCATCATAAAATGTATAGATTATAATAAAACATAGCAAACTTAAGTTTTGCGTGTATAATTGATGACATTCTAAAGTAATACCTAGCTACGATTCCTACAACATTTATCTATTTGCAAAATTGTTATTATAAAGTTGTCACATCACTTGATAGGTTTCGAAAATGACTGAAGGTCTTAACTTCTCGCGGGTAAGTGCCTTCGGTTTGGGGGCCTTGGCATTTTGCAAGTAGTACATGCTGTTACATTACTAATTCCCAAAATAAGTACTTTCCACTTTACAACATTGTAGTGCCCATCGTTATATTATAGTGAAGTGCATGTGTCGCTTGGCACATCTTAAGTGACATACTCTTGACTCCTTTAGTTTTGTAATCGTGCTGGGGGTCTACTACATATGAACTCTTATAGCAGTCCTTGTTACGGAACTTGAATTGCTTGTCAAATTCGTACTATGACCTTACACAAACAAAAGCAGTTATCATGCTGTTTACTTTGACCATTACAGCCCGTTACATCAAGTACCAAGTACGTTGACCATTCAAAACGTTTATAACGTTTATAATGTACTTAATTAACGTTCACGTCGTGAAATTTTACGTGAATGCGAACGTATCAGCTGTCAAAAGAAGCAATTAAAAAAGTTATTAGCTTTTTTTTTTGGAAAATGGTTCTTTCTACGGGTTTTCCTATGTTTCTCGTCCCATTAACCTTAAATCCCTTCTTCTTTATGTTGTGTATTCTCCCTTTATTAGGGCATTTCTCCAGGAGGGGCTAATTTCTCTCGACTTCAGTGGTCGATTTTTTTTCTTAATTTCGTAAACAAAAAAAACTGAAACTTACACAAGATTCCGTTAATTGGGCAACAAGATTCCTAACGGTTACTGATTTATTTGATCCACCGAATTCAGCTTCCAACGAAATTAGAAAACAGTACACCGATGTCAGAAATAATGCACCGAAGGCATAACTGCATTTACATTTTATATATAACATTTTAAGAAAAAGGCAATAAAAACAATCAAGAATCTACATAAACATTTACTAATACGACTACCTATTAAATCAACGCTTAAAAATTTATACGACAGGCGATCAAAACAACGTAAACAAAGTTGACATTAAGACTATTATTTAAAACAAGTCTACAATCTGGCTGTTAAGCCTTTTTAGTGCGTTTTCTTACCTTAAAAAAAAAAGTCTAGAACGAAATCTGTTAGCTACAAGAATAATCAATTATTTGGAAGTTGCACGATTAATATCTTTCATTGCTTTTTGTACATGACGAGGTAATTCATGCAACTTCAAAATCTTTCCTTCCGCTTTTTTCTTCGCATACTTGTCCATTTATTTCTTTAAACCTTTCATATAGAATAAGATCGCTTTTTATCTTTGCAATTCTAGCACGTTCTTTCATATTCTTGATGTTCAATGATTCTTTTGGGTGCTTACCTATGAAATTATCGTTTTATACCTAGAGAATTAAAAAAATAATGAAAAAAATATATTTAAGTAATGAATCCAAGCATTGACCATTATTGTCGATGTATTGTTGCCATTTCAATGGAACTTCATTGATGCCTCTGCTATAAAAATTCTAGGGAACAAGAAGCGATGATCTAACTGTATGAAGGCAATTTTAACCGCCTCATCGGAGTCCTTTTTCTTCGCTGTAAAATGTTATCCAAATTCCGAAAATAAAATAAAAATCAGTTGGAGCAAAGTTTGGTGAGTATGGTGGGTAAAATTTAGTTTTTGAAATATCGTATACAGCGAATGACACACAGAAATCAACCTGGACCAAATCCACCGAAATACATACACGCAAGTCTTAAAATCGGCAACAGATCGCCCGCCTGTTATTGGTACTGCAGCCACAGGTCCGTGACGGACGAATAACGTAAACGAATTTCGAAGCTTCTAAAAAAATGCTTCACTTGTAATGTGTAGCGTGATTCGATACCACCGAATTCCGGTGCTTACAATAGACTTAGGGCGCGTTCCCACATGTCGTCACGTTTTATTATCGTTGGACGACTGTCGTGTCTAGCCTGTTCCCATATCACGGTCGTGGACGATTTTTTATCGTTGAACGACTGTCGTGAGTAGCTGTTCCCACTAGATCGTGACGACAATTTATCGTTTCACGACAGCCTCCTTGCCCATCTCTGGCTACGGCCCAACGCTACAGCAAAGCGAGCAGAGGGCGCGGGGTACCAGAGGGGAGGGCAGGGAGCAGAATATGTGCGGACAGCGGTAAATAAAACGTGACGACAATAGAAGCTGCGACAATCTGTCGTCACGTTTTTTTATCTTCTGACGACTGTCGTTCTAGCTGTTCTCACTGTGACGACAGTTTGTCGTTGTAACGATAAAAAATCCTGAACGACAGTTAATAGTGTCGTGCTATATGTGAATAACTTCATTTAAATATACAAGACACGACATTGTAAACTGCACAACAATCTGTCATCACGATATAGTGGGAACGCGCCCTTATCTGAGACGCGCAGCAAACTTGATATTGTGATAAAACTATTCTCTATCTCATTCTGACATTCAAATTTATGTACTGTCATCTAATTTATTAAACGTGAATTAAAGTATAATACTAAAATACGGTTTTAGTTTTGAGAGATATGACAGCTTGTGTTGGATTCTGCATTCGAGATACGCCACCGTTGTCAGGTTTTAGGTGTTTCAGAGTTTTTTTTCCATAAGATCCGAAAGTTTTATTGGGAAATTTTTGTGCTCTTCGGAAAGCTTTCGACTATTTTTTTTTTAGTGGAGAGAGGGGGGAGGCCTTAACGAGGAAAAAATGAAAGAAATTAATAACGAGTATAGTGCAACTGAACACAGAAAATTAATGAAAATTTTTGTGTGAATTTATATGCTCGAATATAATGCTTTAGTTGGTTGTCCGTGATTGTTTTTTTTACCTCAGGTATGATCTCCACAACAGCAGTCCGTCGAAGAGGTTCTTCCAAAATAAATGCCTTGCTGCTTGATACCTTAATGCTCTGGCCACACAGAGGCGGCCGCGGAAATTTGTAATGTACGAGGTTATAATAA